GTTGTAACATTTAAACCTGCCTAACAGCTAAATTGTTCATAAATGGTAGGTGCTGGAAACAAAATTTATGTTTTCATTTGTAACAGAGATGTTTAGGTTGCTTGTGTAAAAATAAATCTTATTATTAATTTGTAGAATACTTTTAAATTATTTTTGCAAAAAGCAAAATGCATTAGATTGTGCTCTGCTATCCCCTCATTGTAAGTTGAATTCAAGTAGTGTCTGAGCCTGGAACACTGGCCTTAACCAGCTTAACATCTTAAACTGGGAGTGAAATGAGCACATTGACAGCTCCTAGATTACTAGTGTAGTGTTACGGGTTGCTTAAGATGCATTTCATTTCCACAGGTTCAGGTTCAGCAGAATAACTGCGCAAGAAAGATCTGATAGTGATATGGATATGAATTGCAGGTAGTTCCTTGACTCAGCATAATCAGTATTCAGCTGTCTGCTCCTCTAGGCAAAGAAACCATGAAACATTTCCTTCAGTTGTGTCGTCTGGGTTCTTGGTAATTTCCAGTAGGCATGTCATTCTTTTGGTGATTCATTAGAGCTAGTTCAAGCTGGTTACTCTCTGTGTCTCTTAATTCACTTCCTTTGGTTCGCAATTTGCGTCACTTATTTGCTTCAGCAAATTATTCATCAAAAAGTCGGGCTTACAACACAAGCACGATGCAGACGCCTAGTGTCTTCATTTCCCTAAATCTACGTTGAGAGAAGAGCCACTTATCAGCCTTGTTCTATCTGTATTGATGAGAGCAGTGTATATTTGCTCTGTAGCTGAGTAAACATTTTATCACCTCTTAGTTCAGCCTAGTGTCAAAGTAATTGAATTATCCATATGTAATATGATGGGATTGTGCAGTGTGTATGGTTATGATCTCTGCATAGAGGATTCTGTTTTTTCTGTTTGCCATACTAGATATGATTTTTACTTTATTTTCTACTGAGACATTGCCATGTGTTGTAAACAATGGTTTATTTGCATTGAATATCATGTGGTGTGTATGTTTGCAGAGGAAGGTTTGCTGTACCGTGCGCGGTATTTTGGGGACAGTGACCTGTACCACAGAGCTCAGAGGATGGACACTCCCAGCTGCTCCAGACTATCGGAAATGCAGGCTTCTGTCCATGGATAAACTGATGCCATCGCTGCGAGAACAGGTGGGGGCATAAGGGTTGAGTTTGTCTTTTGCTGATCAGGGGTCTGGTCAGCAAAAGACAAAAATCACTCTAGCTGAATCTTCAGTGTCTGATGGGAGAGGGTATTTAAGCTATATTTTAACCAGCAAGTTGGTGCTACAGTGGTTTGAGTAAAGCCCACTGCACACTGTGTAATAACGATGCAAGATTATTACATGTCGCACTGTACACAATGGCAGTAAAATACGGGCCAGATTCTGAGGCAGACTGTGAGATATCTTTTATGTTTACATGTGCTGCAAAGGAAGGTTTGCTGTACCATGTGCGGTTTTTCAGGGACAGATTGTACGGTAAAGATTCTCTGATAAGTTTGCCTTTGATGCAAGAAAATGATGATCATTTAACCCCTTTTCACAGAAGCCATAAAGTACACTTTCCTCCTGTTTCGGTAGAGGTTCCTCATTTGAACTATAGATGCATTTTTTTTTCCCTTCAATAATGTTGATGGAATATGTCTCAATATTTTTATTGGGGCAGTTACACATGGTATCTGACTCTGTGGGGAGGTGTGAATTATTTTCACAGCAGAGGGTTCTGACTCCTCCACTTTGACCCATCATTGCTCGCTAGCAGCTCAACACATAATTACAACATTTTACACACAAAGAGACAACAGTGTACTTTTTAATCTGATAACATAGATACAGGGGAAAATTTTATTTGATTATATTAATTATAAATACAAAGTTGAATTGTATTCTGCCAGAGGAATACTTACTAGGATGCCTGCAGAAAAAGGTTACAAGACAAAATTAATGTTTTTCCATAAACTTCCATTAAAAAATGGACTTTTGCTCACCTTGAAAACAGCGTTTTAGTTTTGATTGCATTACAATACACCAGTGGGCGGGAAAAATAATATTAACCAACTATTATCAAGCAAAAAATGGCTAAATTAGAAAAGGAAAATACGTAATCATTCCTGATTCACATTGACTTTAACTGTTTTTTTCTGCAATAGCATTATCATGGCTACAATTGTAGAGCATATACTCAAGGCAAGGGAAATGAACCATAGAGACATGGGCACAGAAGCCCAGGTGTACAGCATGTTTATTTAGCACTTAAAACACTTAGTGCTCAATAAAACGGCCCTCAGCGAGCAAAAGGAGAGCAAACAGAAAGCCAGCAGCACCAAGCAAGTGCTGAGAGTCTCTGTCTCTTTGCTTTCCTCTGTGTCCTGTATCCTCTTTCACAGTCTCCTTTAAACTGTGTTTTCAATGGTCTGAAATGCTTGACCCAGTTACTATATGATCTACACCTGTCCCATGTCAGTGTGAGACAAATGTGCAGCCCCAACAGGCACACCGTCATGATCACTCTCTCGACATCTGAGACCATGTGCGCAATCACTTCTCTTATGTTATTTTTAGCTGTAATTTAAAAATCATTTTTGTGTGCCATTTTTATGTCTGTTTTCAGGATTTTATTATGTCTGACCATCTGGATCATATTTTAACTTTGAATCTATTTTGTTTTTAAAGATTTAAGAAGAATCTTCCCTTTGGAGATGGCAAAAGGAACAGTGGCAGAAAATCAGCCAAAGGAAAGACTTCAGACTGACTACTGATTGTATGTGTGCGTGTATGTGTGTGTGTGTGTCTGAGTGAGTGTTAGTTAGAGATGATCTGTTGCTATCTTGCTGTAATGGTCATATAAGGCTGAGGATCTTCCCCCTAGCTGACCGCTCCCTTGACCTGAGCTACACCTCGAGAGAAGGATTCAAACAGTTAAGAAATAATGATTATCTGTTTATTACCCAGATGAATGAAACTACATATCTTCATTTCAGGTCAGTTTATCATAGATCTTGTTTTTTTTTCCTGTAGTTTGGTAGTTGGTAGTTTTTGAATGTTTATTGTAGATCTAAAGTCACTTTGTATTAATTTATAATTGTACATCTGAGATTTATCTATGCAGGGGTTTTATTGATTAGGTTACATATATTTATTAAGCTTTAATTAATGAAGATTTGCACTCCATACTTTTATCTTGGACACTAAAATTTAAAGGGGAATTCCACCAGTTTTTCAAAAGTTCTGCACAAGTAAATGATTCTAGTAAACAAAATTCATTCAGAGTGGTTTGATGTGAAATGCTCTGTTCTGGAGAGACTTCTGACAGAGTCAGAATTGTTTGGAGAGGTACATGCAGGGTACGGAGAAGGAAAAATACTTTTTCAGATTTACCACTATTTTACCACCATCAACATTACATATAAAGCTAAAGCTACATGTAGGTTCACTTATCATTTTGAATAGTAAATAAAATGGCTATATTTGCATTGTAGACATAGTGATCCCCTGGTACCTATCACCAATGTTTAAGAAATATACGTCAGTAGCTTTCTCTATAATCTTTTCACATCAAATCACTCTAAATGACTCAACGATTGATTTATGCAGAAATTGGTGGAATTCCCTTTTAAGCTGGCTGCTGTATAAAGTTAGGTAGTATTTATTGAAAGATCTGGACTTTTTTTAAAATATAAAGTTTTATATTTTCAGCTCCTATGAAATTGTTGCATTGCTGGCAAAGAGAGTCACATTGCAATGTTTCTGCTCTGGACAATAGAAACAATAAAAATCCTACGTGCCACTCTTCACTGCTTGAGTGAGTGTGTTTTTTGTGTTTGTACCGAAGAAGCGTGTGTGTGTGCATATTTCAGGAAAGGCAGCAGTGTGAGTGAGAGTGTGTGTTTGCGTATGTCTGTGCGTGAGTCATGTTAGCTGTCGGATTTTGGCAGGCGTTTACATTCCCAGTGAAAGCTAAAACATGCTGAGGCTCACGTTCATCCTCAGCCTGTAGTTCAAACAGCTCATGTGTGCTGATAGTCACAGCTCACTAGAACTGGTCTCTGCTGGATCTGCACTTCTAATGAATACGCTGCTTATTTTCTCTTTTTCTTTCCTCCTTCAACATTGGTAAAACCTTACAAACCAAAGTAGCAGTTCATCAGAGCACATGAATACATTATTTTACACTTCTAAGAATTTTTACCCTTTTATCTATTTTGAACAGAGTATGTTTAACTAATTTTGAGAAGTTTATATGTTACTTTGGTTCATTCTATGTAATGGAGTGGTGTTTGCATTTCCTTCTGTGACCACATAATTAAAGGCATGCTGGAGAGGCTTAAGAAGCAATGAAGTGCCATGAATGCATGGATAACCATGTATTAACATCAGTCTTCAAACATGTAGGTCACTGAATGGCCCGATCAAGAGTGTTCATAACTAAGATACAGCTATCATGGACAGGCTAAAAGGTTACTTCACTCCTAAAAATAAAGGTTTAAAAAGGGGTTCCATAAAACAGTTACTTTCCGTTCCTGAAATAGCTTTTGAAAGTATGGTTCTTTTGTTTTCATTTTTATTTTAAAAGTTAGAGTCCACAAGTCTTAAGCTTTGAAATCATGTCAAGACAGTTTGGTGGGATTCATTGTACTTCTAAACTATTATATTATGGCAGAGGGCAGTTTGGGTGGAGTTTCAGAGCTCTGTCTCATCTTTATAAGCCTTCCCATTACAACTAGAATTAACTTTGACCAATCCCATTTTTCATACCAACTTCACTCTGATAGTGAAGGTCATAATGAAACAAATTCAGCTTATATACTTCTCACTAAAGTAGGCAACCTTTTCTGCACAAATCTGGCCAAGTAGTAGTTTTGCATGCAGCTGAGCTCTTAATTGACTCTTAATTAACCGAGTTCTTAGCCATATGCATATTTTAAGTCTCAAAACAGAATTTAACCCCCCCCCACCACCTCACACACAAAGCACATCACAACTAAGGCATTTCTTCAAAAATAAATTTATTTTCTGTATTTTCTTAAATGAACGTACAAAATGTAACAGAGTATTTGAATATCAAATAAATAATTATGCACAGGAAAATATGCATGGAAAAATAAAAAATATGCAAAAAAATAAAAAAAAGGCATGGGTCCTTTTTAACTGAAGGCCAAAACATCTGTTCACAAAATGGCACTTACTAAATAAAACGTTAAAAACAATCTTCCACGAAACAAGTAAATCAAGTTTCCAAGACAAAATAGCTGCCACAGCAGGTTTCCGCAGAAACTGAGGTAAACATTTCAAAGCAGTCAACAGAACAGCACCTGTCAGGTTAGAAAACTGCCTAAAAGAAGTGCAACATATGAATGCAGTAATCCATAACTTGTACATACAGCAATCGTTGAATACAGGCATGTTTGTCAATTTGACAAACAGTGTACTCAAGTTCTTTTGTATAAAACACCTTGGTGATGACAGGATATGGAGATCTGCTGTCAGGTAATATCTTCACTATTGTAATACAACTTCATTACAGAATACAAGGTTTATTGCCTCTGGCAGTCAGTTATCAAAAGGCAGTCACTTAAGTCCTCAGCTGGCAACATCTTGGATCACCAAAAAGTGACAAGTTTCACCGAGAATAAGACAGCCGCTGGAGGAAGAGGAGACAGAGTTTGTCTTTTGTGTTCAACATTCTTCAATAAGCAGCTCCTCAGAGCTATAGAGTTTCCTCTTGATCACCCTGAAGCCAGTGCTTAGTTTCAGGGCATGTTTCACAACTGGAGCTGAAGACTTGGTAGCAAACAGGCCTTGGATTTTAGGCCAAATGCCTCCCGACTCCAGTCTGAGTACAAGTGTGAGCTGAAAGGTGGGCACAAGGTAAGGGTCGGCCGCTATCTGCCCAGCACACTTGTAGGTGTCCCCCTGCTCCACACATAAGTCAATCAGCGCCCCCCGCAGGCCACACGGCTCACTCGCGGCCAAATGTACTAGCTCCTGGCCGATGTGCTCCAGAAGTTTCTCAGGGATGAGCAGCTTGGAGCAGTGGAGAGTGCAGTCTTTTGCTTCAGTCAGGCTGCGGGCAATCAGCTGCACCACTTCCTTACAGAGGCTCTCTTCCATTGGGTCATAAAACATATCACCATCAAGGGTGGACAAGTCTGGCAGAGATATTGAACCTGAAAGAGAAAATGAGCCGTTAGTTCTGCAAGACATTTGTGAAGAAAAATCAATTCACATTTATTGCATCAGTTACATTTAGTTACTAATTCTCATTGTATTTTGGACCAAAGTAATCCCAAAGCAAGAAGTAACGTAACAAACCTAGGCTCCAATGCTGATGGGCTGGATGTACTAAGCTCTACTGTAGGTCAACTCAGAATCTGGAAGTTCTTTAACCTGGTACCTTTCGCTCATGTTTAAATAGGTTTTTGTCTTAGTTTGATGCTTTTTTAAACTTCTACTCTAGTAATTTTACTGATGTTAACTTAAATGTATCTGGCTACTCCATCCACCTCTATAGCTTGTTAAAAGCCCATTGCATGAGGACATTATTTCAGTTTCAGTCACAAACAAAGCTGAGATACGTACCAGAGTCCGACACATCGTCTCTAATGCTGTTGCCCTCGGAGTCGGAGTCCAGGCTGTGGCTCAGTTTCTGCACCAGGGAGCTCCAGGACAGGCGCTTGGCTGAGGCCTCACTTGCACAAACACCAGCACTTCGCTCTTTATGCATGGCTCTATCCGGCAAGACTTGCTTCTTCACTCGAAATTGAAGTCTGTTTCAACTTCTGCAGGAGAAAAGAAATACAAAAGTGGTTGATATGATGATCAGAACAAAGGCAGTGCTGTTAAGCCAACAGGAAAGAACTTTATAGGGTTAGCTACAGTGCCGGAGAAACCGTAGTTAACTGTTAGCCAGCTGTAACGCATAACGCCTGCACACAAAGAACTGAGAGTGACTACACTTGTTTTTCTGTCTTGCTCGTTTTTTTCTGCAGGAAACACCAACAATTACAACACTAAGTAAGAGGTAAGCTGTAGGCGGTGTGTATTTTGCTGAAACTAGCAAGTTAACGTTAACTACCCGGAATAACCAACAACTCAGAATGAATACAAAGAAAACCAGTGTTTAAAATGATTAAAAACAGCCGCTTTGAAGTCCAACACTTACCAAAATGGAGTCCTTAAGGTACGTTGTCGATGCCAATAAAGTGCTGTGGATAATACAGCTAATGCTCCTTAAAAAACAAAGTGCTGAAAGTAACAAAGGAGCGGTTTTCAGTGCTGTTTCAGTCTGCGCCTCCCCGTCTGTTCCTGCTCCACAGACTGATGTCATGAATCCGAACAAAGCTGTTTAAATAGCTCCGCACCAGCTGCAGCTGTACACGCCCCCCTCGGCAACCCGGCAACCAATCAGCTTTCAGATCCAGAGCCGAGCCTGCCTGGCTTCGCGAAGACTCAGCAGCCAATCAGCGTTCAGCTCACGTCTCGAGCGTTCCACTCTGCCCGGTAACATCAGGCTGTGAGCTGAGCAGATGAAAAACAGCCCCGAAGCCTTTTGTCTCACTGCGGGACAAGTTGGGGCAAAATCTCACGTCCTGCAGGTTCGTAGACCATTTGGGTGGACATTAGTGCTTCATCGGTGTAACACTGATTAGGGCACTAGCATTTATATGCTGGTTTATATGTAATATCTTGTATACATTTGCATAAGCGTAGGCTAAACGAGAACAAGAAGTAGAGGTGGGCACAGTAAGTCAAGTAAAAGTACAGTTACTGAGTCACTTAGAAGTAAAATAGCTTTCCAACACAATTTGAGTAGAAGGCAAGTCAAAAACTCTTCAAAGCGTTTCCTGTTGAACTGCACTGAAACTTTTGGAGTACATCTCAGCATAACTGAAATCTGATAGGCTGTATTATTCTCCTTTTGAAATAATTTGGTCTAAAATCTTAAAAGTAAGAGGTGTGAGCAACAGCAAAGCAGCACAACATATGAAAATAAACACAAAAATGGAATTTGTAGATGTTAATGATTAAAATGCAACCCAGTAAAAAGTAGATTACTCACAAATACACTGTAGAAGTAGAAGATTTGAAAATGTATCAAAAAAATGATAATCCATCAAAAAAGTTGCTACCCATCACTGTGTGGTGGCTGTGGTTGCATATGTATAGGCCACAAAAAAAATTTGCTAACACAACAGTAATATGACAACATATTTGTCTTTTGGCATTTGGTTTGTGTTATTTTATCCTCTAATAGTTAAAGATGTGATCAAAATAGGACAAACTCACCCTAAAAAATGGTTCTTCAAGGGTTCAGTAACATAATAGATAAAGTAATTGATAGAATACAACCTTTTTGGTAGAATCCTTTTTATGTGTGTTTTAATGTAGTATGAATGTGTGAAACATAAAATCCTTAAAAATGCATTTGTATTGAGAAATAATTAGTGACTGTATATCTAAAGGGAAAAGAAACAAGTTTTTAAAGATAAATTAGAAGACTTTTATTCATATATATACTACAGACCACAGTTGGCCTTTTCAAGATAACTTGGGAGAGCTGTTTGGCCTCTGCCCTAGACAGGGTGGAAGAGGATGGGTGGAGGGAACAGCATGGACAATACAACAGCTCACAAATTACAGCCTGGTCAAGCCTGTCTGCCCTAACAGTACAGAAAACAGTGTATCAGTGTGATAAGTGGAGCTCATGCAATTTTCACTTCACTGATATAAAGTTAGTTCTACATACACAACAGTAACTTTTATAAGAGCAATAAAAAGTCATCTTAGGGACAGTAGAAAAACAATTTTGTGTGCTGCCCTAAGATGTATTACAATTCACTGTGTTATTCTTGCAGGCTGAGGAGCTACAAGCTGTAAAGGCAGAATAAGGAGCAGCACTGTAGACAGCAGGCTGTGATGCAATGAAACGTTACTGGGCATGAATCACCCATTCCTGCTCTTAAGGTATCGGCTTCTCCAGCACCTGAATTTTATTATAGTTTACCCATGAAACAAGGGGCTTTAATGCCCACTGCATTTGTAGTAACTTTCAGTGTACTTGCAACATGTTTCAAATAGTGAATGAAAGGAGTTGGACTCTGCATTGACTTGACAGGGTATAGCGCCTCTTGTGTCAGTGTGCAGCATGATGCAATATTGCATGGTCCTAAATAGATTAGCATTCTAGCACAGTTCATCTGATGACATTACAAGAAATACGGTTCTTCCTGATGAAAGCCTAGTCCTGAGATAAGTGACCTGCAGTTGCTGGAGGCGTGCAGGATCGATTCAGATTTCTCTGGTGCAAAAAGTAAAATGAGTTATACAAGTAATCACATATGAAGAATAGTTGTTTGCACATACGCTCTTATAAATAAAATAGATGTAGATGTGGTTCTAGGAAAAATTGTTCTATAGAAACTTTACACTATGTGGACGTTCTTCAAATTCCATAGTCTTAAATCTCATTTACTAAACTGGTTCTTTAAAGAACTGTCCATTTAAAGGTTCCTTAGGCAACCAAAAGTGGTCCTTCTACAATATTGCTCCAAAGAGCTCTTTTTGCCACCTTTATTTTTAAAGGTTATTGTATTTGTATTGTATTGAGTTTTAATCAATTTGTCATTGGCACCTTATGTTCTGATGTAGTTATGTGAATATAAAACATATTATTTAAACCATTGATCTTTGCAGTAAGTCTTATAGCTTGTACAACTCACATGTATCAGTAGAATCATGCAAACTATCATAAATACAGCAAAAAGTAACCTTTTTTGTTTCAGAGTATTTTGTGAGCTAATTTGAGAACCAAAGTTTGGTTCCAGATGTCCCCGCATTTACCCCCCCCGCACAGATTTGTTAGATTCCATCACCTGCACACCTGATATAACAATGAAGTATTATTTAGTCAAACCGGGCAAAGGATGATAATCACAATTAATACTGGGCTTGCTCAATGAGAGGTCTGGACATGTTTAAACAAACACACTGACATACATGAAACTACCACTTATTGTATTAATGTTATTTCTATTCATTGTAATATTAGAGTTCTGTGAGCAAACTAATGCTTACTGACCAGATAAACAGCTTTTTAACTTAAATTTTTTCAGGAGTCTAAATGCTCGGTACTGTCTTTGTAATATGTATATATACATGTGTGTGTGTGTGTGTGTGTGTGTGTGTGTGTGTGTGTGTGTGTGTAAGCATAGTTAAACAATGTTCTCCTCATCTGTTGCTGTCCTCAAATGACCAGGTTGCAATTAAAAGGACTCGTCTGGTACATAAACACCTATAAAACTATAAAGTAGTAGTAGAAAGTGTATGAATGTTTATTCGTTAACAACACTAAACACGCCAGCAGACCACAGGGACATTACACAGCCACTGAGACTTTAGTCTAGGGTGTCAGTGTGTCTGTTATTATAGTTATTATGCCCTCACGTTTTGTACCTGAACCCTTTATTTCTGTGTTATATCATACACCAGATTTTAAAACATTTCAGCCATTTAGACAAAAAAAAATACAACAGACACACATTTAACATGTTAAACTGTTGTGTAAAAATGGAAAATAATGTTCCCATAAAGGATAAAGTGTAAAATAATGCATACAGACATTAAGCTTGTTAATAAGCCCAAGAAAGTTCTTGTAGATATGAGCAGCTCTGAGAGTTACTTCACTCAGCTTGCCAAATGCATGCATACATCCTTATATATGCATTAACTCACAGAAGTTTTTTGGCAGGTAGCCAGATTGCACAGATGTGTTGAGAGTACACGTGAGTGCTGGACAAACTGTTCTCTGTGAGGGATTGAGGGGGAAAAAAACAATGGCACGTGTTCTTTGTCCATGTTCATACCATACAGTATGCCTTCGATGTATATGCTGTATGTTCTGCATCTGCTTTCACTTGCTGAATACAACACAAACTCAGATGAAGCCTCGATCAGCAGCTGTTCAAATGATTATTGGTGATTTTCATTTAAAAACTGCTTTTTAGACTAGGCTTATCTTTGCAGTGAACAAACCAGCCCATAAAGTTCACCATTAAAAATAATAAATGTTAGGCCAAAATGAACAAATACATATTAATGCACATTACTATTTCAGATGGCATTTTTCAAAGTGGCACACTCATAAGATGCTTGAAAAAGGGCTTTAGTGTGAGCAAGTCATGTAGATGGATTAGCAGGGCAACAGGATTCTTTAGGACCCAGCAGTTCACTTTGTTGGGACGGTTACGCCCCTTTATGGAACACAGAGTGGACAATCGCTCAGAGAGCAGAACAGTACATTCTGTACATTCATCCTGCTTTCAATCAGATGCAAAACATCCATCGGAGCGTGCCGGCCCACAGAGCACATATGCCAAGTTTCAGGGAGGGAGTGGCTTGTAAACAGGGGTCAGTGTGTTTTCCTCTCAGAGAAGAACACTCATAACCAAACAGCCTACACAAGAGTCACTGGAGGACTTTGAATGAATTTTTCCTCGAATGCTTGATAAAGATGAAGCCCTCCGTGGCAGGTCTGAGGATGTTTGTGTGCTGAGAGTTTGTTTTGAACAGAATCATCTAGTGATGTCTGTCACCATGTTCAGCTCAGGACAAAGAATGTTGCTTTTCTTTACTATCTCCCCTCAACCCCCCTCTCCTGCTTTGTCTTCTCCTGTTTCTTCAGTCACTGCTGTGAGCTCTCTCTCTCTCTCTCATTGAGGGGGAGGAGAAGCTCACAGTCCGCAGCGCTAAAATTAATAGCGACTGTGCAGGCGTGTGGAAAAACAAAGCCCAGCCTTTCTGTCCTACATCCACGCATATTAAAGCTAGACGCTGCAGGCTGCACAACAGACTAAAGACAAAAACAAACTGGTGCATTTGGTTGAGAGGCTTTTGAATGGAAGTTCTAAATATGTATCCCAGATAAACCAACACTGCATTCGGTTAAACAAAGGAATGATGTTCCAAAAGTTGTAAAAAGAGTCCTTTGAATTTGATAAATTAAACAAGACTGGATCTTTGAGACACAGCAGAAAACTGAAGGATATGATACAGGCTTGGAAATAAAACCTGAAATTAAATGTTAGAGAAAAGGGTACAACTGCAGATCTGGCAGCCAGATCAGCCTATTCTTTGAAATAGATGAAAATACCAAAGGAGGAGAAAGTACAGAGAAACTGTAGTTCAAGTATGAGTGCTATGTCAAAATCTTACTCTATTAAAAGGGGAAGTATGCAGCCAAAAATATACTTGAGTTAAAGTAAATACTTACATAGTACATAAAAGGAAACATATTAAAGTTCATTGTTTGGTGATGCGTGGTGTGAAGACTAATCAGTCATACTAGTTTGAGCACAAAAACAAATGAACATAGTTGTGGATTGTTCCATTTAATATGAATTTGGTTGGATGTTTAATAAAATCAATGGGCCTCATTCACCAACTGTTCTTAAGAATAAATTTCTTCTTAAAACCTACAGTTTTCACAAAGATTCTGACATTCACCAATGTTTCCTTATTTGATATTTGTTCTTAGGTAAGAACAGAATCTACGCACACTTAAGAGCATATAGGTGCCAACAATTCTGAGGTTTAAGAACATATCATGAATCTGACATAGACTTTTTATTTTTCAAAAACAAATAAAAAAAACATAGGAAGATATTGGTGAATGAGGCCCAATGAATTAAAATGTGCAAAAACCTGACTGATTAGCAAGATGTAAAGAGGGAAACTGCCTGGCCTTTGTCATTTGTAACAAGTACTTTGAAGGTCTATGTTAAAATGTAAGGAGCAAAAAAGTATGTAGGGTTTTTTTTCTTGGAAATGTAATTATGTAAAACTAAAAGTATTCAGTTTCAATAATACTTAAAGTTCTAATCTTCTAAAATAACACTTGTGATACATACAGTGATAAAATACCATTATTCAAGTATTTCCCACCCCTCGAAAACACCAATGGAATAACTTTTCTCTCAGATCTCATTTTGATCATATAAGTTAGATTAAAACTTTATTTCCATAATTACATTTACTGTATTAAAAATTTGTCTGTGTAATTTAAGACCATAGTTATACACAGCATAGCTACAGTACTATGTTGAATTGAAAAGTGAAAAATGTGTATAAACACAAGGTATGAAAAGCTTTCTGAATTTGCTTAAGTAAAAAAAAAATTAAATAAAAATACAACAGACAAATTCACACAAGCTTGGATATGCATTTAGTTATGAAGTAGTGAAGCCAAGTAACTGTTCAATAGGTTTATATTTCCACTCGTCGGCTTCCAACTCCTCCACCAGGCTGGCCAGTTTCTCCATACGAGATACTTGCTGATCTGAAAAAGCATGAGAGCACAGCTTATTCAGAATTCATAAAGCAGCTTACAGTAACAATGTTGTTTCTCAGTTACAGTGCTGTGAAAAAGTATTTCCTGATTTCCTCTATTTTTGTATATTTGTCACACTAAATGGTTTCAGATCATCATACAAAAAGTAATACAAGACAAAGGCAACCTGAGTACACAAAGCACAGTTTTTTAAATGATCCTTTCATTTATGGAAGTCTTGTCATGCCATGTGAAGAAGTAATTGCCCCACTAAACTTAACTGGCTGTGCCACCTTTAGGCAGCAACAACTGCAACAGAACGCTTCCTAACTAGAGATCATTCTTTCACATCACTGTGAAAGATTTTTGGACCACTCTTCTTTGCAGAACTGCTTTAATTCAGCCACACTGGAGGGCTTTCAAGCATGAATCACCCATTTAAGGTCCTGCCACTTAATCTCAGTGGTGTTTGAATCAGGACTTTTGACTAGGCCACTCCAAACCCTAATTTTGTTTCTTTTGGGCCATTTCAGAGGTGGACTTGCTCTTGTGCTTCAGATCGTTGTGTTGCTGCATAAACCAATTGCACTCGAGCTTCAGATCACAGACTGATGGCCAAACATCCTCCAGGAAAGTTCTATTTTTGACTCATCAGTCCAGAGAACACAATTATAAAAAGCCTGGGGGTCACCAAGATGTTTTTTTATGAAATGTGAGACGAGGCGTCATGTTTCTCTTGTTTAAGAGTGGCTTTCTCTTTGCTGCACTACCATGGATACCATTTTTGCCCAGTCTCTTTCTAACGGTGAAATCATGAATGCTGAGCTTATCTGAGGTGAGTGAGGCCTGCAGTATCTTAGATGTTTGTCTGGTTTCATTTGTGACTTCCTGGTTGTCACCTTCCTCTTGGAGGACATTTGGTAGGCTGGCCATTTCTGTGAAGATCTGCTACTGTTCCAAGTTTTCTCCGTTTGGAGATAATGGCTCTTACTGTGGTTTGATGGAGTCCCAGAGCCTTAGAAATGCCTTTGTAACTATTTCCAGACTGATGTTTCAACTATAGATATATTTTAAAGAAATATATAAATAAAAGAGGTGTGAGAATCATATCGAGAATCGTAATCAAACCTGGGCATATCTAGTTTGATTGATCCCAATCATCTACTATATGTAGTTCATTTGGATGACTGAATAACTAAGGGGGCAATTACTTTTTTCCCAACTGGTGTTGGATAACTTTTTCCTTCAATGAATAAAACTATCATTTAAAAACTGTATTTGTGTGTGTTCAGGTTGTCTTAGTCTTATATTAAAATCTTCGTGAAGATCTGAAGCCTGTAAGTGTGACAAATATGCAAAAACAGAAGAAATCAGGAGGGGCAAAAACTTCTTCATAGCAGTGTAGCCTTACTCATCAGCACACACTGACCAAGTATGATCAAAATGAGGAATCCGTTAGTCCCAAAGGTGGCATTTGCAATGTCAATAATGGCATAATAATCAGAAAATCTATTTAAAGTTCTTAAAAATATTATAGGTGTTTGAAAATGCAGAGAAACAGTGTCTCTTACCATGCTTCACTTGTTTTAAAGTTGATGCCACTTGGTAACTGAATACCGATTCACACAGAAATCTGTCTGAGCCATCTGAAAAGTAAAGAGCAAAACTTTATGATTTATAGCAGACATCGATGTAAAATACACACTTAAAGAACACACTGTACATAGAACAGATAATCTGAAAGGACTCTGTATGTGCTCTAATAGCCTGTGTTTGCATACTGGGATGGGTAGGATGTGTTATTGCACTCAAAAACAGCTTAATTATCAATGAAAAACAGTGGAAAAACATTACCTAACAATCACTGAACGGAAATCAGTGCCAAAATCAGACAGGAAAGTGTGGAGACGGGCCAAACAGCACCAGCCATCAAACATAAGTCATTCAACATCTCAAACAGCCAACAAAACATGACAACGTCCAACAAAAGTAGTGATCGATCATTATTTGTCTCTCTGCTGTGTTCTCTTTGTGTGTACCCCCCACTGTTTCCAAGCCCACACTCAGCTAAGCACATTAACTGGAGCATGTGCTGAATGGGGTGGCGGAACTGGGACTAGGGGACAGATGGGTTTAAATCCTCATTAATGGCTCCTGTTCTTTCTGGAGGCCAAAGGCTGGCAAGAGCCGTCCGTCTGTGGGCACGCAAAGCAGGGTGCAGGCTGGTGGAAATGCACGTCCCCATGTGGGCAAATGACCCAGACGCCCGGACGCATAATGGAGTCAAAAACAAAAGGACAGCAGCTATTTAGGCGCCCAGTGACACTTCCGTCAGCCCAGACCTTGCAATACCCTTTTATATAATGGAGTGGATATTTTCATAATATATTTTAAGAATTACTACTGCAGTTTATCAATGACTTACTGTCTGAAAATGTAACTTCATTACTACCTTCACAAGCACATTGGATATTAGTATAATTATGTAAGTATATCTGTGAAGAGTCATTATTTCACTGAAAGCAACTGAAGGATGGCTTTGGACTCCTCTATCCAATTTACGTTAAGAACTCACATTGGTCATCTCAATTCAGTGACCGTTTATCATTCCTGTCCTGAGGTGTTGGTGTGTCTCAGTTCTCTGATTAGAACAAAATACAACAGAAGTGACATTTTACAGACCTTCCATCATCTCTCCGGCTCCTTTAGGGTACGTGTAGAGGACTTTTCTTGGAGGAATGAGCTCTGAGGCGCTGAAGCCAGATCCGGTAACAGAGCTGCCGCTCACGCCTCCTGCTGAGGAGGATGAAGATGAGGCGGCCATTTGGCCTTGAGCTGTGTCTGCACACAGGAGCTTTAAAACAATGTTCACATTAGTTTGTCATATACATTTATGCATTTGGCAGATGCTCTTATCCAGAGCGACTTACAATTTACTCATGTTACAGAGGCAGACATATGGAGTGTCAGGAGTATTGCCCAGAGACTCTTACTGGCACGACATGGTGTACTTGCACAGACAGTTCATGTTTTGCAACAATTTGTAAACATCTAGTTGCCCACCCCATTACAGCAGTAATAGCCTCTACTCATCTGGGACGGCTTTACACTAGATGCCAGAATGTTGTTATGAGGATTTGATTGCATTTAGCCACAAGAACATTAGTGAGATCAGGTAGTGTTGTTGGATGATTAGCTCTGGATCACAAATGCCACTCCAGCCCATTCTAAAGGTACTCACAGATGCACCGTCCCACAGCCAAATGCTGGGGGGTCTTGCATCCCTCAAGCGACTGCTCCGGAGTAGAGGTGGGCAATACGGCAAGATATAATATCACAATACTTCGAGAGGTTTTTTTAACGATACAAGATATGTCACAATATTTCTTTTTCGTACATCTGATAAGTTAGAACAGAATAAATAGTGACACATTTTTAAAATCTCATCACAAATTCTGAATCAAATTATTTACATAGCATTTCACGCACTACACTAAATCTAATTAAACACGTCTAATTAGGCTCTCTTTTTAATCAAATATGCTATTGGGACGTGAATTTTAAGTACTGACGTTATCAACGATATACTCAAAAAGGCATATTGCTATAGTGATGTAATTTGTCACGAAAACTTTAAATAACTTTTTTTTAACTTTTAAAAACAATATTTACATCACATTCATTTTTACAGCGATTATACACGCAGTTAAACGCCTGTGTTAGCAACGGGTGCACCTTAAAGTAGCAACATTCGTTAACTAAAGTGTTATTTACAAACTTTGGCAAATATAGTGTAACCATAGCGGGTCCTTTACCACTCAGAAACGTTACTACCGCAACAGGAAACAAATCTGCTGCAGTTCACTAACATTTCGACTCAAATCTTCATCAGAATGGGCTGCTCAGGTGGGAATATATTTGCTTACCTAGCTAGCTTAACTCTTTTGTGACAAGCTAAGCACGCAGCTAAAGCTAATCAGGCCAGAGCACCACTTTACAGCTGATTTTATCATTACTCGCTCTCTATTTATGAGACATCGGACCACCGCTCACCCACAGACAACAATAAGAAGCATGTCATTAAAATATTAGGCGGTATATTTTTAAAACTGTACCTTATCAGCTGCGAACTGCTGGTCCTTCACCTCGTATGATTTCAGTACGCTCTTTAAAAATAGACACTCAGCCACTCAGCGCCATCTACTGATGTGGAGGACATCCGGTAAACAAACGGACGTAGCAGCTCCAGTCGTGAACTTGCGGAAGGTATTTAACGTTAACGTTTAAAGTTGTATTTCTCGTTTGCGTTGCCTAAACCGTGTTTACCTAAACTTACTTTACTTAAAACATGCAGAGCTCGATGTTACTGTGGCTTAAATGTTGGCACGGCTGCGTTGTGCGCCTGCTTCGGCTGTGGTTCTGATATATTAGCCAGAGTTCTGGTGCTGTGTTTCAGTAACTGATATTCAGAGAGAACTACAGCTACTAAGTCACGACGTTTGAAGTCGTTTACAGCCACTAGCTACATGGACAGAAACGCTTTTTAACACCTGTGGACACTTTATTCCTGGTTGTCACTTAAGACACAAGACACCAGCAGAATCTAATGTTTATGTTATTGGAGCTGTGGAAGGAACAGGCTGTTACGATCAGATGTGACCAAAAACGCTTTGGTAATGTAACTTTACATCCCAGGTGTGTAGAGAGCCTAAAGAGGGATTCATATCATGGGGTACATCATTTTACCTACAGAGATGGTGGTGCATCACTGGTGGTTTGCAGCTGTTTAGCTGTCAGCGGGGTTGGGATGTAACAGAATACAATTATTGGGAAAACATATTCAGAATACAGACACTAAGTATCTGTGTTCAGTTTAAGTTACATTTTGAAAAGACAGTATTCAGAATACAGTTACTTTTACATTTTTAAGAGAATATTTACCCACTAAATATTTAAACATTAGCCACTTAACATTTAACACGGAACATGTTTCTATATGTAATATCAATAACAGTAAAATAGTGATAACACTGCATGTACCTGCCCTGTATGTACATTAGAAATACATTTTGGGCCAAAAGCATAGAACTATAATAAAACACTGTCTCGGGCATCAGGCAAGATATTCTTAACCATTTCATGTAGTGACTTTCTGTGAGGTAGATTTTTGAGGCATTAAACACTTTGGGTGTCTAGTTCTCATCATTAATGTTGTAAACAATTATGAATTGGTGAGTTTCTCTAGAATGGAGCTACACATCGGATCACTCTGAATGACTTTGTCTACATTTTAGTGATATAATTTTGTAGAACCTTTTAAAAAAAAGTTGAACTCTTGTTTAATAATCGGTGAATAAATGAGTTCCAACAAGTGTCAAATTGCAGATCTTTAGCCTTGTGGCACCTGCTTGACAGCTGAATCTTGGCTGTAACTAAACCTTCTAGAAAGTTAGTGATGATCAACATCCCTCAAAATCAGCATGAAATGTATATGATGGGGCTTGAAGAGAGTCCTTGATTTGCCCTTCATACTTAAACTTAACGAGTGGTTCAAGATCTCCCAAACTTGACTTAATACTACTTGGAAGTATCTGCTGATGGTGCTTTTCCCATTTATCCAATATTTATGTTCAAGGTTGTTGAGAATAATTACTAACATAATGTTATATTGACTTTTATTCTCTTTCAAGAGATCTAGATAATTATGGATATTTTGCGGCCTGCACTTATTAACATCAATGGGAGAATTTACAGGAAAAATCCTGTTAAAGAGGAACATTATGAAGATGAAGAGGAGGAGGATTTCTCATACTCTGGACCAGGTTTGCTAGCCCCCAAAATGGCTACATTACAACAACTATTAGTCTTTGCACAACATTGTTTCAAGTGGTGCACCTTAATCCTGATTCTTCTGTTTTTACAGTCGCAGATCAGTGCATGGATGAACCTTGTGACGGTGTTAATATTGAACAGACCGAAAAGGGTTTTCGTTGTGCCATAGATGTCCCAAGTGTTCTTTACAAGTCAGTAAATATTGACTGTGTTTTAATGTCATGTTGAAATGTCTCCAATTTTTACCAATGAACAATTTGTTCATTCTTCATAATGACAGGTGTATCACACATTTAGATGATTTATTCTGCACATTGATTTCCTATTTTCAAAGGTACATCATTGGAAAGAAAGGAGAGACGCGGAAACGGCTTGAATCAGAAACCAAAACTTCAATCAGTATTCCCAAACAAGGAGTGGAGGGACAGATAGGTCAGAGATTTTTGTGTGCTGTTTTATTCTTCCATTAAAGCTAAAATTTAAAATTAATCTTTTCAGGTTCATAACAAGATGTAGCATGGAGAAATACATCCGGACTCGGCTTGTTGTCATCACACAATGTTCATTTCGATGTTTGCACATACGCAGCAGTGCGGTTATATTTGAGTGTTGTACTGTCATGTGGTGAAGAACATCTGGTTAGTGGTTTGTACAGTATGTTCTCTTCTTGTTCTGTGTGCACAGACGGAGGTGCATCTGTGTTTTCTGTGGTTTTGCAGTGATCACAGGACCTCAGAAGTCTGCAGTGGCATCAGCCGTTACTCGTGTAGAGGTTTTGATAGAGAGTTTCCGCAGGAAGCAACCATTCACCCATTTCCTGTCCTTCGCGCTTAACCACCCCCAGGTCCAGGAGGGGTTCCAGCGCTTTAAGGAGGAAGTACTGGAGCACTGTTCTCAGGTGGGCCGGCAGACTCTACTTAAGAAAGCTGTGGTAAAATTTTGAACAGTGGTATCACAAATTATTATTCAGATTTTACTGATGAATTAATATCATGCTGAATATAGAATATGCGCTCACAATAGGGTTATAACAATACAGCATTATATTGTATTGAATTATATCACAGCATATTGAATTGTATCTTATCACTGTATCATGACCAGCTTGTGTCTAGTGTATTAGCTTTGGGCTAACATATTAGCTTGTGGCTGGAGTGTTAAATTGGGACACATTTGCGTAAGGACACATTTTCAGCCACTGTTTATTTGTTGTATCGAAAAAGGTATTGAATGGAGACACCACTGTATTGTATTAAATAATTATGAATTTTGTGAATCGTTACATCTAGGGCTAAAAGATGAATCGGTTAATTATTTATTAATTTATCATTTCCAAATCAAAATTGCAGTTTGAAAGGGTGCAATTTTCAAATTGCAAAAACTTCGGTTTTAATTATAGCCTACATTTTCAACAGTGTTGTCCTTTTTTCCTCCTGCAAATTGTAGTGCACAGTTTCTATGTATTTGTTGGGTTTAACATATTGGAAAAAAATAAAATGCAAACTATGCTAAATATAACAGTGTTACAAACAATACGTAATATGTACAATGTATTTTATATATTGTATACAAATATAAACAATATGTTAAATTCTGCAGATAAATTGCATTAAATGAATAGAAGTGTGTTTTCTGAAGAGGAATGATATTAATATTGTAGTTAATTTATTTATTTATTAATTAGAATTAATATTATACCTCATGTAGTGACTATAGAGTATGTGCTTCCAACATGTACATGAGGAACTGGAATATGGTGAAAAGGCCTTAGTATAATGCTGCTCCTTTGTCAGAGCATACAAAACACCAGCAGAACATGCTGTGAAGAAGTGTATTGTTTGTACAAAACAAAAAATATTACTGTTATCTTTTTGCTAACAGACTTCAGACAAGACCATGAGTTAAAGGTCATTCTGAATGTATGTTATATGAATTTTAAAGACTGTTTTTTTGAAATGTGCATGTTCCTCTTTTATCGCTAGTGTGAGCTTTTTTCACTTGGTGCATCTGTATGTTCTCTGCAGGATTTGGGAGTGGATGAGAGCATCTTTCAAAACCCAGCTAAACTGCACCTCACCATAGGAACTATTGCCCTGCTGAATGAACAGGAAGTGATGCGAGCATGTGAGCTGCTGCAGCAGTGTCAGGGCTTTATCAGGTGAGTGTCTGAGACACAGTCTGGTTTCATAAACATTGACTGTGTCTAGTTGTGAGCCAAGTTACACTGTCAGTGGGGAATTCTCTTCTTGTGTTAGAAAAGAATTACATATTTTTTCACATCTGGACCTCTTTAATATTTACTTGACAGATTTTAGACAGCTCTGTTATAAAAGAATGAAACATTTGTAATTATGCCTTAATCTGTCCACATAGAGAGTGGTTGGCATCTGTGCTGGGATGAGAATTTCCTCCTACCAGTAATTTACTTGCATTATTTACATGATCACTTGCAGAGGGATAATTGGGTTTGTGTGTTAATATTCAGTGATGAAAATAGTTTTTCACTATCTAACATTGCCATTTTTGATATTTCGATGTTGTAAGTGATAAGACTGAAGCCCTGCTAAAAAAAAAATCAGTGTCATGTCATAACTGATAGCCTTGAAAGCTCAGGTGTAGGAAGTTAATATTTCTAAGGTTATGTGTAAGAATTAATACACTATTGGTAAGCTTTCCAGACAGGGATAAGGCCTACTAAACAGCATCCTGAAAGGAGATTCTCCACTGAAACAGGTAAAACCTAATCACTGTCCAGGAAACTGACCATGACAAAGTTTGGGGACCCCTGGTCAAATGATTTTTGGATTTGTGAATTTTAAATACACCTCCTCTACAGAGAACACACTTCTGCACTACTTTTAGTGCACTACTGTTGATTTGGTGAATTTAACATATTGGGTAAAAATAAAACATGAAATTAAAAGTTATGAAACATTTTGTATTTATGTTATTTTGTATGATAAATTAACCTCAAATAAATAGACATTGTTCTCTAAAATTTGCAGTGTCATATTTAAGTTTGTTCCCTGTAGAAAGTGTGTCAACTTATTTTCACTTAGAATCAAGGGTGTCAATAAGGAGTTTGTTTCTCGCTTTGCTGTAGTAACAGCCTCTACTCGTCTGAGAGGGCTTTACACTAAATGTTACAACATTGTTGTGAGGATTTGATTGCATTCAGCCACAAAAGCATTCAATTTTGTCATTTGGCATGGTGACCTTAGGCTCACGTGTGGCTGCTACAGGGTATTGGTGATGTTTTTCAATAGAGGTTATACCAGCTATGTATGCACAGTTGAATGCCTGCATCAGCAAAGGTCGCAGGTTAAAGTAGCTGAATTTCTTAATTAGATGGGATATCTGAATACTTTTGACTATATAATGTGTTTGTTGATGCAAAATATCTTTTTATAAAAACATTAATCATCTTTTTGTGCTGTGTTTGTGCAGGGATGTAACAGAAGGGAAGCCCTTAGCTCTGGAGGTAAGAGGGATTGAGTACATGAACGATGACCCCTCCATGGTGGATGTCTTGTACGCTAAGGTCATCACTCAGGACGCCTCTGATAGGTAAGAAACATAGCCAGTTAATTACATAAGTCTCCAAATGCTGCTTCTAATGCTTTACTATGCTGTGAAAAGAGGCTAACAACTAACAAATAACTGGTAAGTCTTTAAAAAAAAAACTTTAGTGGAGGAGTTTTTTTTTGTATCACATTCTTCTTTTTCACTGGTAAACTTCACTATAGCTATGTTTCCATCCAATGTTTTTTTTTTTACAAAAGATGTTTTAAAGAAATTTAGTGGATAAATTTGTTGACATCAAATGCTATGAAAACCTACGTTGGGCACTTCTTTGGGGGGGGGGAGTAACACATTTACACATAGATTTAGCATCATGTGTCCCTCATGTGCCTTTTACAACAAACATAAACAAACACAAACAGCATGGCGCAGACTTATAGCTAAATAGAGGAGGAGATGACAGTGTTTTTAAAGGGAATGCTGGTTTTAGGGATGTCAAGGAAACCAAAGGTACACAAATTGCTGCATATATAACATTAGAGAGGAAACATGTCAAACATAACTTAAGCCTAAACTTATGCGGTCAGTTTTTTGCAGGAAATGACATCATTAGGTAAATAATTTTTATCGCTAAAGGTCAGTTTGAGGGAAACACGCAGCTGGGCAGCAAAACCGCAAACATTTTTTGCACTTTTTCATTTTATTGATTGCAGTTTGCATCGATGGAAACATAGCTGTTGATCATGCCATTAGAACTGTCTGCGCGAGCAGAAAAATAAATGAGAGTTAAATATGTGTTTTTAATTTTTAGCATCAATGAAATATATACATTTGACCAAAATGTATATTACTATGTATATTATTTGCTATGTATATTACTATGTATGTAATTCTAGGAAAAACAGTTATGTATGTAACAGTTATGCTAGGGACGCACTGATCATAAATGTTTATAGACGATTCCAGTAATCGGCCATCCACAATCCACAATTGATTTTTATTAGCCTTTTTTTTTATTTTAAGTTAACACTGTGGGCACAAATGAATGCATAAAATTCATTAGACAAGCATGCAATATAAAGTATGCAATTATTTATATTTATATTTTTCAATTTTAAATAATTTGCTTTAATTAACATGAATCTAATAAAGTGCTACATCAAAAGTATTTGGAAACAGGTTATTTAGCAAAATGAGTCATACATAATTATGCTTCAACATTCTGGTACAGGTGTAGCAGCAGCATTCAGATACAGTGTGAGTGCACATACCGGCCCCACATTATTTACATCATAAAACTGAAACACAGATCTGCCAAAATAAAAGCAATAAACTGACCAATATCCAATTTTGTGTTTTTTTGCAAAAACCTGCTGATTCCGATCTTTGCCAGTTTCGATTGTGCATTTCTGATATACACATAGCTGCTTGCATGTACATTCATGAATCTGTGTGTACAGATTGCAGCAGATAGCAGACAGGCTGGTGGAGAGTTTTGTAGCAGCAGGGCTGATGGTGAAAGAGTGGGACAGAGTGAAGCTTCACGCCACTGTCATGAACACACTGTTCAGAAAGGATCCTTCAGGTATGTGTGCACGATACCCACATTAACTCAGCATGTCTAATCATCAGAGTGTTTGTCCTTCACCACAGCGTACCGCATGTTCTGTTTGTGAATCAGAATATGTTCTCAGTGTTCCTTCACTGGTACTTGGCATTCCTTTCAAGGGCACACCAAAGTAGGGCACACATGCATGATATAACTCAAGATTAGTTATCTGTTCAGAGTTTTTGTGATCTTTGTCTCTGCAGTGCATGGAATGTCAAAATCAACCTCACTGGAGTTTTTATAGCTGCATTTACATTTTTTATTGCACCTGTGGCACTAATGTCAGTACATGGAAAGATAGAGCTAGATCACTACTTCAGTGAAGACATTAGTAAGGCCTTCATCCGTCTTGATGTCCACGTCACATTTTTGAGGTTTCATGTATCATAACCAAACAATTTTAATTTCTACATAACCATTTTCCGAACTGTCTTTATTTCTTACAGTTAAACATGCTGTTTGTAGCTATGCCTTTGACACTGATATGTAAAAGACCTCGTTTGATAGGCTGCTCTGTTATTGCGCCTCCATCAAAAAGCAGTCTGTGCTGGAACACTCTTTATAACATCATTGTGAATGGACGGAGCTAAATTGCTATAGGTTGAATAGGCAGATATACACTACCACACTTGATTGTATGCTTGAGTTTCCTGAAGGTATTTTTATGTAAGGCTTATGCTTAAAAGTTTCAAAGTTGTTACTAAGACAAGTATAAATATTATTTTAATACATATGTATCAATTTATATCCAAAACAAATAGAACAACAACAAAATTGAATAATATTTTGAAACAAGTAGTTTTCATTTAGTACTTAAGTGAAATTTAGAGTTGTTAAATGTAGAGAACCACGATCATGATAGCATCCTAATTCCATGGGTTTCTAATTAAAGTGATTTTGGGGAATTAACGTCTTTTAACCAAGCACTTGTGTTGTAACAAGGAAGGCTGAGTCTAAATAGCCCTATTTGGCATAAGGCCAATATTTCTGAAAGGACCATTATATAGTTGAGGAACGAATAATGATTTCAAACTGACAGAATTCATATATTTTACTTACTACATCAAACTGTGTTATTAAATTAATATTTTTGAAACTTGTTCATGATCTGAGCACTTTAAAGGTGTTGCTGAAGGAGCACAGCAAGTTTTCCTGACCGAGCAGACAGGACCTCAATAGACTTGGAGTTGGCCACTTGTTTTTTTCACAAGCAGCTGATATTAGATGTGTGTGGTCATGGTGGATGGACAGTGTGTTCCTCTTCGCTGCCAGATATTCCCTACATTACACAACCTGTAAATCACACCAGCTAATCTCATATAGCCATCCTAAAACTCATACATCCACTTTAATTAGCTTGGTTTAAAACTAAGCTGGCATGTTTTGAGAGCTTAAAAGGCTGTCTATTTTTTAAAGAAATAATTGCCTTTGTAGCAGGTTTGTTGAATCCAGCAGTAAAACAACGAAGCTATATGTGACCTCACTCTGCACTTAAGAGCTGTCAGCAGTCCTAAATCTAATAGCTGTCACCCAAATGCCACAGTGAAGAGGTAACCTGCAGTGACAGCAAAGCCACATTCTTTAAAATTATGACTGTATCAGTGGCTGCAGTGGTGATACTGAGCTCTTGCCTGCAATCCTGCCTGATTCTGCTGGCTTGGTGAGAGTATGTGTGTGTGTTAGTGAGTGAGTAAGTGTTTTTGTGAGCAGTGCAGGGTGTTTTTCAGCTCCGGTAACAAAGAACTCATTGAGCTGCTGTGAGTGGAAGGTGGCCAGCGCCGCAGTAGCGCTCTAACAGCCACGTTGCTTTCTAAAGGAAGCCAGGTCGTGTTTACCGGCTGCGACGTAGGGCTCCGTTTCAACAAGAGGCTTGCTTTGTTCATTTGTTGTTGTGGTGGCTGCATCTGTGTTGACATTAAGGAGAAACAGTGCTGTTTTCAGTTTGACAGAGCTCAATAACCCCAGTTATCCATTCACCTTCCCAAGCCTTCCAGTGCCACACATTACACACAAACAGAGAGAAATGTGTTTATTTGGTTATGGAGCGATGTGAAATGTGACATGCTTTAACAGAAGTATGTGTTTCTGCTGTTCTCTGATGCTTGTCTTTCTGTTTCTCAGTGGAGGATAAAGGAGGCCCAGGAAGGCAGAATATGAAGGATCGAGAAGCTTTTGATGCCAGAAATATTTTGGAGGTGAGAACTGATAGCTAAACTTTTCCCCTCAAATAATAGTATGGCTGTCAAAATAAATTAGTTAAACCCAATTAAAAAAAGATACATTGATTAAAATTTCCTTCTCAATGAATCAGCAGTGATTAGTTGGCAGTTGGCGTAATGAAAATGCTTATTTTACATTCTGAGAAACCGAGACTAATAGGCACACAGATTTATATGAATTTTTCTCCCAGTGTTGTACCTTTACCATATCTGTATTGGCCCGGATATTGGCATTTAAATACAGTATCAGTATCAGCAATTGAGAATACTGATACTAAGCAATTTCTGTCATGCTCACCAGCTACTGATGCTTGCATGAGCGCCAGTAGATGAAGCTAAGGCAAACATGTCAGTGATGTGGAATTATTTCATGCTTGAGACAAGCAATAGTAAAAACTCTCATTGCAATATCTGGAATCAGGCATGACTGGCAAGATTTTCAATACATCAAATTTAAATAAGCATTTAAAGATAAACCATGTCGAAAAGCTCAGTGACTTTTCATAGCTTCAAATATGAGGTTGTCCAACTGGTAAATGCATTTCATTCATGCTCAATATGTTTTATTTGTAACGCAGAACTCTACTTTTACCAAAATACAATATTTAAAAAAAGTGGCATGGTATAAATATCAGAATTTCTAGGCCACTATCTAGTCTTTGGGATTTTTAGTATTGGGACTTGTTATTGGCAGGTAGTTGAGAATCAAATATCAGTATCTTAAGTGCAATTTAAAGGCGTCCTTGTTTGTTTGTCCAATAAAGATTTTTTTTAAAGGGCCATGTATAGTTTGTTATTCATTCAAGTCTATTTTTTGTTGTTTGACCTTTTTTTTAAAAACTCTGTCACTCAATTAATTGTCAACATAGCTGGCAGATTACATGATTATGTAAGCCTCCTTATCCTGCTTTAATAAACAACAAAATATTGTAAAAACTTGATTGCATGATTTTAACCTGTATAACAAGACAACACCAAAAATATAGTTTCTGTTTTTACACAGCCAGTGTAAGCCTTTAATGTGTAGTATAACTGTAGATAAAAGGAGCACACTGTTCACTGAGCAAGAGGCATTATGCTGCAGTGTCCACTCTCACTCATACAGAGAAAGCTGGCGTTTTCTGTCTGTTTGATATTTGCTGTCTGCGTCACCATAATCTGTTTAAACAAGGCTGACTGAGTGTGCTCGTTTTTTATCGTGACTTGTCTTGAATATTCTGAAGCTTATGAAGAAAGTGATTAGTTAGATACAGTGGTGTGATAGATAAGAGTCAACTTAATTCTGCAGGTTGGTGTACTTTATAGATTCTGATCACTTAAAACTGAGAGCAGCCTTCTAACCTTTTATTCCCTTTCCATACTGAAAAGCGTATTACAGTACTTTTAGGTGAAAAATGTCACTAGCAATACCTTCCTGATAAACACTTCAGGTTAATTTGCATCTAATGCCCCCTGCTGGCGATAAAAGAATTACAAGTTGTTTTTTGCGGGGCTCAACAAGCACATAGTGTTAAACTACCATTCAGTGCTCTCACAGTTCGTAGTTATTAAAAATTTGATGTATGACGTCCTTTCCAGAAACCTGTAATTAAGTTTTCTCAGATCCACTTTGCACTGTAGGGTGAATAAAAGTAGATTGAATTTAGTCAATATCACTTGACTAGTTAAATCAGATTTTGGAGGGAGGAATTTGTATAAATTCATGGAAAGAGAACACAAACATGCATTCATTTTTTTTGTGTGTGTGTGTGTGTGTGTGTGTACAGGACCCTGAAACTGATCCTTTATTTTTGAGATATGAGTTTGTGTATAAGCAGTAAGCTGTATCTGTTGTCTTACATGATACAGAAGTTCTGCCCAGTATTCACAGCAGACATTCTTGCATGTTGCCAGAGTTTGTTAGTGAGTAAATGTTCTATCATCCTATGTCCCTGGTTTTAATGTGATACTTGATCTCTCTCTCTTGCTTTCTCTCTTTCTCTTTCTCTTTCTCTTTCTCTCCTCTCTCTCTCTCTCTCTCTCTCTCTCTATGTCTCACTCACAGATGTTTGGAGAATTTTATTTTGGAGCGTGCAAGTTGGACTCTGTGCAGTTATCTCAGAGGTTCTCCTCTGATTGTACAGGATACTACTGTTCAGCTGGACATGTCACCTTCTCCTGACCTGCTGCCCCTGTACAAATGCAAACAGATGCTTATGGAATAAGATAAACTCATACTGAGTCTTTTTTATTACGAAGTTTATTTCCCACTGTTGTGGGATTTGGAAGCCTGGAGAGTAAGCACATGTTTCTCTGAGTTACAGTCATGGTATCAGTGAGAGAAAAAAAACTTGTCTCTTCTGATAATTTACCATTTATATCTGATGTGTCTGTAGCAGACTAGAGTCGCATGCTATCAGTAACAATATAATGTTATTACATTAAAAAACCTCATCATCCTATCTTCAGTGCTTATTTCCTTTTTGGTATTGTGCAAAAATGCACCTTATTTTGTTTTGAGTTTTCCTTACAAGCCTGTGTCAAGAAACCTCCAGTGTTCTTCTGACCAGCATAGAGAAGAAAGGTGTTTCCTTAGCCCAAGGACTTAAAAGGGGATTTTTCAAAATTTCTACATAATGAAATGGTTAAGATGTAATTAGTCATGAAGAGTGAGCATCTACTTAGTAGATGGATACACTCAGTGTGTTGAAGGAGGCCAAAGCAGGAACAAATGTCTGGAAGAAAGCTAGTGGCCAGCAGGGGGCCTCATTGAGCTTAAAACTAACATTGTGCAACATTGTGCAATTTAAAGAGAGATGGATAAACTAAGGAGAGAGATAGAGGCTGTGTCTTAAATGGCTCACTGTGTGTCAGATGGGAGTAATTTCAGCCAGAGTTTCTCCGTCCAGTAAGAGAGAAGAGAATCACCACTGGAATAGCACTCCGGTGTCTGTACCAGGAGTAATATTATCCTATAGCTAGTGGAGTCTAGAGGCTTATTACACAGTGCTATTCTGCTAAATCAGCTCACCTTTATTTGTGTTTTTGGTTTTGTTAAATTAGCTATTTTTGGCCTTCTGTATTGCAGGATGAAGATGAAGCAGATGTTGCAGAAAGTATTAGCACTGGCATTAATCAGGACTGGTTGTTTTAAGCGCTGTCATTATTTGGTGTTTAGCACAAACACTTTTATAATATGGCCTTTGATACACTTGGTCAGGTCTAGTGTGTGTTTAAAAGGACAAGGCATATTTGTGTGGACAGTGAGAAAGTGCATGACCTTACTATCTTTCCTAGAACTCATTGTCAGTTCTTCCATTATTTACTGCATCCCATCACTCACATGAGCCTGTAGTACAAGTGTGGAATCAAGACATGACAGTGCTTTTTCATGTTGGCTGTATATCTTGTACTGGTCTCTCTCTCTCTCTCTCTCTCTCTCTCTCTCTCTCTCTCTCTCTCTCTCTCTCTCAAAATCAATCAAGAATGTGCTGCAAACATTACAGTACAGAATGTTAAGCTCATGCTAGCTCACTATTCAAAAATGACAGAGTTTGAATTGATTACCAACAAGCAAAGCAAGGCTAACAGGATGTTATTTATGTGTCTCAAAGTGAATCAGGGAATATAAATTGTTAAATACCTTCTATGTCCAAAAGTTTGTAGACACCTGCTCATACAAAGATTCTTCAGAATCAAGAGTATTAGTAGGGAGTTTGTCCCCATTTGCTGCAGTAACAGCCTTTACTCTTTGCTTTACACTAGATGTTGGAACATTGCTGTGAGGATTTGATTGTATTCAGCCACAAGAGCATTGTGAGACCAGGTACTGATGTTGGATGATTAGCTTCGAATACAACCGCCAATCCAACTCATCCCAAAGGTGTTCAATGGTGCTCCATCACTCCAGAGAGCACAGGCCACTGCTCAATAGCTAAATACTGTGGGGTGGGAGGGGCTTTATACCCCTCTAGCTGGTGCTTGGCTTTGGGCATAATGACCTTAGATTCAAATGCAGCTTCTCCAGAGTATCCCATTCTACTGACAATGCTTTTCCTCTGAGGTTATACAAGCTGTGTACACAGTAGAACACCTGTGTCAGCAATGGCTGCACTTAAAGCAGCTGAATTCACTAATTAGTTGGGGTGTTAAGATATGTTTGGACTTTTGTTTGGGTTTTTTGTTTGTTTGTTTGTTTGTTTGTTTTTTGTTTGTTTTTTTTGTACCAGACATTTTAGGCTATGTTAAACTTTTTGGAATCGATCTTCTAGTTTTGGCTCTGTGATCTTGCTTCCTTCTGTGTCCTCAAAATAATAATGTCTTTCAAATTCAGATATACTAAACTGACATTTGGCATTTGTGCTGTTTGCTGCCTTCCATCTCTTTTTAATCTCTTTCATCTCTCTCTCTCTCTCTCTCTCTCTCGCTCTCCCTCTCTCTCTCTGGTTAATTAGTCAGCTCTCTTCCTCCCAAGGCTGAAGCACCCACCCCAAGAGGATTCAGTCTGATCTTGCGTCTCCTCCAATAGGCCGTGATTAATGAGCTCTCTTTGCTGTAGGCCTAGTCACTTGTGCTGCTGCAAACTGAACACGAAAAAAAAAACCCTGTTTCTGTGCTTCTGTTCAAATAGTAGCTTGGGTCGTTCCTGTTCCACGTTTGAGGTTTAATATTGTAGCTTGCATGTTGTTGGTGTCGCGTAGGAGGAGACATGACATGATTTTCTTTTGCTGCTTGGGAAGCCTTAGGTTTCTGCTCGTTTGGCAAACTGAAGACATCAGGACTGTTAGCTTGAATGCTACTGCTGAGGATTCTCAAGCCATCTGCCTAATATGGCAAAATATATCATGATATCTGACATTCACTATGTATTATAAGTATTACAGTATTTCGTTTGGTTTGATAAGTTGGAATGCAGCACCCCAAAGGGTCACGTTTTAAAAATGCTAATAAAACCAAGAGTGCAATAAGCGCTTCACCTACTACACTGGACTACACCCAATTAAGCAGGGCCCCAATAGACCCTCCTCTAGAAAATACAGTTGTTTAATGTTCTAGAAGTACTAATGGCGCCCATAACATGCCTAGAAAAATGTATTGTCAAATAATGTATTATGATAATATTGTAATATCAGCCACCCCCTCTGCTTACTATAGATTTCTTCACGTTGGCTGATGATCTATTGGCACATTAGTGGTCCACTTACACTGTGACCACACAGAATTGAAGAGATCAGCACAAACGCAGTAAATATACATGAGGGCTAAGCCATTTAAATTAATCAATACATGCAGTAATCTCCAGAAATAGTGATCAGTACTGTAAGGAGCCTCGTCAGGTCTTCTAGTCCAGCAGGAGCTTTAGTGCTGTCATGTGACTTCTGAGATCAGAGGAAAAGCCTCTCAGGTTCACTCTTCTCCTGAGACAGAGATGCAGCTTTGCAAACATCTGTGCACAGCTCAAAGCTCAGGGAGCTGGAGGAGGTGTTGCTTTGCAAGAGATAAGGGAGGCTTGACTAACTTTTAATCTAGTTTAATGTCATTTAATTTAATCTAATTTCCTAATACTCTGTCTGAGATGTGGTCTTATCTCTCTTCTATGCTTGAGTCTCTTGCTATGGGTCTCCAGCTGTTTGGTTGTGTTCTTATCAATGGCCCTCTTCAAATCTGTGTTCAAGATATGAATTCATTGCTATGCTTTGCTGAACTCAGGCAGGTTCTCAACATAAAGCTGTTTTAGTCATTCTTTTTTTGGGACTTAAGTTGTCAATCTACGGCCATTTGTTCCATCTTATGAAGAGTTTGGGCCTCTCTCCTCAGGGTGATGTTTTAGTGCACCAACGGCCAAATGGAATCTCCCTATTGTTGATTGTGATTGATGTGTGATGGATTGTGTGTTTTAATGTGTTTGACAATTACCTGCCTTGATTGGTCTGCTGTTTCTATTCTATTCTATTCTATTCTATGCTTAGTTTCTCATTTTTATTCAAAGTGCTGCTTATTCTGAGACTGTTGTCTGAGTTTGTCTCACTGAATGTTGCCAGGAAGGTTGGAATACATTGACTGAGAGTGTGAAGAGAGCTGTGCCTATTGTTATTGCTGATGGATGATGAGGGAACACTTACATACTTGTGAAGTGGCTCCTGATATTGTTTTAAAAAAATGTGCATAAATACAGTGTCCTACAGAGTTATTAACATCTTTGGTAAAAAGAAAAAACAGCCATAAAAATGTCTTTGTTGTCAGCTGGATAAATAGCAAAAAAGATCTAGTATAAATCTAGTATAGTATAAATCTAGATCTAGTATAAATCTATGATAAACTGCTTAACTCTGTTGTTAATGCAGGGAAGGTTAGAGAATAAATAAATGAAACAGGATAAATGGTTGTCTATCTTTATAAATCATTGAATGGCTGTAAACACTTCCAGTAGTGATTCAGACCATTCCTCCAGATCCACAAAAATGGCTCACTCACCATAACATTCATAACAGTTTTTGCAGTGACCATCTCAGTTTTCTAACCTCAACTGAAAACTGTGGCCTGACATGAAGCCAAGGGTGGATCTGTGGGCAAGGCCATAGGGGCAATGGCCCTAGGAGAAATCTGATTGGCCCCTTAAGTGGCCCCCTTCCCGACACTAGCCACCTCCAGTCACATCATTGGTAAACGCATTTCATTGAAAATCCTGGATTTGAAAGGTGACTATGATAATCACTTGAATTGTGTAGATTGAAAGAGATTCAGGAGTGCTGCTGGATAATATTAACTTAGCTAGAGTTACTGGTAATCAGTGCTTTAATGCTACTGCTAAATGAAACCTCTTCTGTGCAATGGAAGTTTCTTGAGCAGTTAGTCTTTTCAATAGCTTTAGAGTGGTGGGTGCAAAAGACTAGTATGTAGTAAATTACCATTGTTTGCAACCAAGACAGTCAGGTACCACTTCGTTTTTGTTTTGTGCAAATTACATCACAAGTGGTGATCATAGGGGTCCGAGCACTGTGTGTCTTATGGCGCCAGCATAGGCCTTGCCTTTCAGCAGATAGAACACAAATGACAAGTGAGTTTTTAGAATGGCCTCTATTTATAATTACTGTTAAGGCAGGATCTTAAAAGGAGATGCTTGCCAAATTTCATACTCGTTGACATTGGTATGATAAGCAATAGGTTATTTTAAAGAAATATTTCAAAATACCTGAAAAGCAGTACAGTTTTTAACATGACTTGAATTGCCATTGTTGTTGAAATCAAGTAACTGAATCTTTTTATAATCCTTATCTTTTAAGGGTACCCAGTCTTGTTCCTGGAGATCTACCAGCCTGCAGAGTTTAGCTCCAGCCCTTATATAACACCATCCAATTAATAGGCATCTGAAAATCAGACACAGGGGTGTTGGATCTGAACTCTCCATGATAGTGGATCTCCAGGACCAGGACTGATCGCCTCTGGTCTAAATAATTACCTGTTTCTCTATATGAATGCACCTTAATGCTCCATTTTCATTTAAAATAATAAAAAAAATCCTCCTAGTGTTTCATGTGAGTGTAAAACACTGTATGTTCATCAGTCCTCCTCAATTTTTGACCTAATGATAAATGATAATGATCATTTCAATGATTTAACCCTTTAACCCCATAAAATTCCAGGCATACGACATCCTAAGGCGTATTGTTCTATAATTATAATGAAAGCAATGTAAACTGGCTGAGTTGTGTTTTAGTTATGCAAGTGTGTAATAAGACTAACCGGAGGGTCTTAGCTGTCAAACCTAAGATGAGGTGATGTTTTGACATTTTAGTATGGAAACATTTTCTGTAATAATAGAGTAGATGCAACTGCAGATCCAATTTGTTCACTGTGACAACAATCATGTGGATACTTGAGCTCTCTAATGCACCATGTACTAGCTATTTGTATTGTTGTCCTTGTGATTAACCATGTAATTACATGGTACTTACCACATGTATCAGTAATAACACTACATGTAATACTAGTAATACTTACACAAGTGGAACATGTGGATGAATTACTGCATTTTTAAAGCTGCTTCCGATAGTAATTAATTCCAGCTTAACTCTCATAAGGCTTCAAACTATATTGTTAGCTTGCCTTCTTAGTGTTAGTGTTCAGGCTGATTAAAAAAGATTCAGAGCATTCTGCTGGTCCTCTCTGTGCTGACAGTTCCAAAGGCAGCTGGAGCTGACGGGGGCGAGAGCTGCTGTCAGCGCCTGGCCGCTGCTGACCTCGCATAACGTCCTGCTTCAGCTCTCATGAATGACAGCTGTCAGAGAGACCAGGATGAATATAAACTGGAGAGGGGAGAATGACCGGCTTATATTTTATTCATACATTTAACTGCTGTCCTGCTAAAAGTTATACCTGCCTCTCCACATGCTGGACTTACACATTATACTTTGTGTTACTGCTGCAGTAAAAAGTGATAATTAATGATCATATTATGAATATCATTTAACCACAACATGTTTTAAGGGACATTAGCTCACAAATACACACTCAGATAGATAATGCTTGTAGCCAGCTTAACTGCTTTATTGTGTGAAGAAGAGGCGATATGGCTTTATCTGTAACGCAGTCTGTGCTGTGCTCAGCCCACTCAATAAATGAGTATAAGCTACAGTGTTAAAGCCAGAGGCATATTCTGCTCAGAAACACCTGCTCTGTACTGCTCCTCTCCCACAACCCTTCACCATCAATTACTCCTCATCTACATGTTCATTCAAGCCTCATTCACAAGAGCCATAGTTCTTCAAATCTCACTGAGCATTTCTGATGTCTTATTGTAATCGTAATCCAGGCTCCCTGCAGTGTTCTGCTGGGTCATAGGTGAACCAGTTGAGTGTGCTGAATGCTAAACATTGCGACTGTAGAAGAATTTAAGAATTTTAAAGGGACTGTAGTAGTTGATTCAGTTAACATACATTATATGTCCAAAAGTTTGGAGACATCTGCTCATCCAACATTTCTTCTGAAATCAAAGGGAGTTTGTTCCCCCCTTTGTTGTGGTAACAGTCTTAATCTCCTGGAAAGACTTTACACTAGATGTTGGAACATTGCTGTGAGGATTTGATTGCATTCAGCCAAATGAGCATTAGTGAAGTCAAGTACTGATGTTTGATGGTTAGTTTTGGATCACATACACCTCTCCAGCTCCCATAGGTATTGGATGGTGGTTTATCACTCCAGAGAACACAATTCCACTGCTCCACAGTACAATGCTGGGGGCTTTATACCACTGTAGCTGACCCTTGGCACTGGGAATGGTGACCTTAGATTCATGTGCAGCTGCTCCAGTGCATCCCAGTGCATTCCATTCTCTGGCAGTTCTTCTCTGTGGAGATTATACCAGCTGTTCAGGCACAATTCAATGCCTTTGTCAGTTACTGCTGTATAATATTACTGCTGTAATTAGTACTGCTACTAATTAGAAGGGGCATCTGGATATTTTTGACAAACGTATTTCCTGTGTGTTGCAAACTTTACCCAAAACAAACAGCTCTAGGGGACAGTTTTTCAAATACTGATCCTGAACTAAACAGGACCCTTATGGAAGATTACCAATAAGAAACTAACAATCTTCAAAATTCTAAGCATGTTCTATATGCAGGAAACCAGTCACAAAGGTATGAACCTTTGTAAATCAGTAAATGTACCAACTAAATGTACTGACTATATGTACAGAACACAGTCAGCTTTGGTTCAGCTGATTGTTTCCCTTGTTTTTCATGAATTATTCATTCAAGATTTCAAGCACCATCTTCTCAAGCTCCTGCTGGTACCTTGTGGTTACAACAATGCAGCTTCAAGACCGAAATGTTCTCATGTTCTTTCATTTCCTGATTACTCTCACAAACTGTCACTTATTTATAAACCTCATTTGGCACTTAAATAGATTTTTTGCTGTAGAAAATGCGTTTTGCGTTTTTAAGTGTTTTACCCTTCTAATGGCTGTTTCAGGTTTATGTCTCAGTATCTTTGGATTTAGAAGGATCATTACTGTGTTCTGATGAATATTTATGAAGCTTTGGTTGATTTGCTGTCAGTGATCTTGAAAAAAGATATGTTTAATTGATTGACTGTCTTAATTATACAATCCATATGTAGATGATATTGATTGTTTGACTTAAAGTCACATTTGAGTGGGTAATTTATATCATTCCTTCATATATCCTCAATATGCACTGAGCCCATTCTTATTTCTTGCAAAACAAGTGAAAATGGTCAGTTTATTTTAATGTCCCAGACTTTGTGGCTATGTTAATATTCCCAGGTTCAAGTGGCGCAAATCAGATTTTTTTCCTTAATGTGACGCAGAGTTTTTAGAGCTGTGTGAACATAATACTTGTTTTTTTTAAGTAGATCTGAGCCACTTTCTCATGTGGTCCTAAATCGGATGCATAGCATGGCCATGAGATGTGACTATAATGAGAACATTCATGTGTTTTTTTTTTCTTTCTCACTAATACCCATCCTTCAGTGTCTGCAGCATGGCAGCAGTGGCTTACTTGAATTCTTGCCTGTTCAGAGTGAATAATCTTTGTGATGAAGACCTGTACTGCTAGTTTATTTATTAATTCTTATTATTGTTCATGATGCATGTGGAACATTCACGTAATACTATTGGTTGGGAAGTAGAAGGTAGTGAGCTACCATTTGGCTCAACTTAAGACAGCACTGAGTTCCACTGGCCAAAGTGGCATTAGCTGTATGTTAAATTCAACCAGTTGGCTTGTTCATCAGAGGCACCCCTGCTAGCATATTAGCATTGCAATTTATATGCTTTGAGGCTGGTTCTCTGGTCATAGATTAGTTCTAGACCAATGACTAGCCTAATCATTCTGTCTGAGGCCAAGATTTTGGCCTTATGAAACACTAACTCAACTGATTAAACAATAAATAGGTTTTCTGATACAGAAACCTGGGCTCTTACTGACCCTTCAGAGCTGAGACTGGATACCACTTTCCTAGACTGCAAGGATTTTCAGTAGAGAATGCTGACAGTGCAATTTAGCCTCACAACTTAATTAGAGTCTGGAAAACTGGCCCTGGAGTTTAAATGTAAATTTATCGGATAGGCTGCATATTGATCATGGGTCGATAAAGAAGAAGGATATGATTGCACTGATATTGCTTTCTTTAGGATTAGATTAAGCAGTAGCATGTGTGAGACTCTAGAGAGAATCCTTAGGCTACTGGACTGTAGGGGCTCATGCCTGATTTATGCACAGCCATCCCTAGCACACACACGTTTATACATTAGGAAAGAGGATGTAACAGTATAATCTGGATTATAGAAGCCAAGCGCTGAAGCTTCATATGCTCAAACTCCTCACACATTAGCTTAATCTCTTGGATATGCTCTGGCATACGTCACTAAAAATAAAGCCTAAACCTGGGAGCCCAGGCTGTGTACCACAGTGGCGTGTGTGTGTGTGTGTGTGTGTGTGTGTGTGTGTGTGTGTGTGCACATGGTATCAGAGATTTTAATGTACACTACATATCCAAAAGTATCCAGACACCCCTTCTAATTAGTGCTCTCTTTGCTGACGCAGGCATTCAATTGTGCATACATAGCTTGTATAATCTCCTAAAAGCATTGCTAGTGGAATAGGACTCAGTTGCACATGAGCTTCATGCCCAATTCCAAGCAATTTCTAGAGGTGTATAAAGCTCCCCAGCTCTGGGCTGTGAAGCAGTGGACCTGTGTTCTCAGGGGTGATGCAAAATACCTTCAGGATGAGCTGGAGTGGTGCTCATGATCCAGAATTTATCATCCAACATCAGTACCAGACCTCACTAATGCTCTGATGAATGAATGCAATCAAATCCGCACAGCAATGTTGCAACATCTAGTGTAAAGTCTTCTCAGAAGAGGCTGTTACTGCAGCAAAGGGGGACAAACCCCTTATTAATGCCCTTGATTTCTGAAGAGACGTTGGGTGAGCAGGTATTTACAAGCGAGCAGTGTGAACGTCATGTTAAACTAGGTGTGTAGAGATGCTGTGTGGGTGATGGAGATGTAGACAAACTGAGAAAGCGGCCTCATCATATTTTGTTGAGTTGGACAGTTTCTCTCACACCCCCATCTCTAACAGACACGCGCGCGCGCGCGCTCACACCTCCTTGCCGCCGTGCTCGTGCTGGAGAGATCACATTATCGCTCTCCTTACCGTTGGCAGAGCCGTGTCTATCTGAGGGAAGCCTGCGGGAGAGAAAAGGCTGCTTTTGCCCCACGCATCACCCCACTGATGGCCGGGATGAGAAATCTAGTGTGCCTTCAGCTTCTGGCGCTAACCTTGGCCGGGTCTTCGACGCAGGCTGATGGCAAGAGTGGCAAAGAGGCAGGGAATGCGGGCAATTTCATGGAAGACGAGCAATGGCTGGCCACCATATCCCAGTACAGCCCGAAGATAAGGCACTGGAACCGTTTCAGAGACGTGAGTTGGCGTTTTTTTACGGCTACACGCAGACTATTGACAAAATAAAACAAGAATGACAACAAACAGATTCACCTCCCTCTTTCCAGCTTCGCTGTTATGTTTTGAACTTAACGAACGTTCTATTAGCTGATATTCGACCGTTAATAACTCTGACAGAGTCTTTTATTCACTTTTCTGGTTTGTTTTTGTACCGTGTAACATTTCGTTTACATATTCTGACATCTGTCATTGTGAATGTGATCCCAGCTGAGCGTACAAAACCTCCGCTTCCAAACATTTTCATTCATAATTCTCTCAGAGAGAAAATTCAGCTAACCTAGCTGGCTATCGCTCGAGTGGAAACGTCGTTTTGTTCTGCTTGAGCGGGATGATGGACTGGGGGCTTCATAATATTCATGATATCTGTTTTTGCTTGGAAAGTTTAGTTGGCGCCGCAGCCGAAAACAGGGGGTAGAAACAGACTTCGAGTTCAGCAGAAGGCAGCTTTCATAATGTGCAGGTGGAGTAGCTCCTGATTCTGTGGCACGGGATTTTTTTCTCCCACCTGTTTTCTGACAATCCCGCCCTCACGCGTTAGGATTGGCTGGTAGTTCAGGAGTATGGCCTGTTAGCCAATCTTAGAGCAGATATTGGATCGCTACTAGCCAATCCGAGCGCAGGGGGGCGGGATATTTCAGAATACGGGTGGGGAAAAAACCTACCTGTCCAGAAGACTGAACCTCTGTAACAATGAGTCTTCATTCAGCTTTTGTTCACTAGGTTTCCTTGATCAAATCCAACGATGAGGCGTCTTACATTTAACTTTTAAAAATTATTTGCTATTGCTGTAATATCTGTTAAGCTGTGCAGCACCTCTTAACGCCTCCCAAAACAAAGGAAATGTATTTTGTTTTATATATTTTTTACTTCATTTTATTTCAGAGGAAATGAAATTCTTGAGCAGTCGCAAGCCCCATTATATCATAAAACAGCTGTTCAAGTAATCTGTTCCAGTTGAACTTGAAAAAAATTGTAGTATACGTTACAGTGCTGACAAATAAGTGAGATTATGTAATGTGATTCTGAAAAGCAACCTCAAGCTCTTAAACAGAGATTTAAAATATAGTCCGGTGGCGGCTGAGGATTGTATGTCGGCTGTAGAACTGTCCTGAGAATTAATCAAATTGTGAACACGGCGGGATTTAAATTGAATCGGGCCGGCTTGAGTTGTTTAGGGGGGGTGGCCAGCTTTTGCTTCGCACTGGCAGCGTCTTCAAACAGGGGGCTTTGACTAGTGTCTGTATTCCTTAGTCAATATTTATTGATTGCCTCATACCTCCGCCTGCATTGAAAATGAGTTTTACAGAGGAGGAAGGATGAGGATACGCATGGCTGCATACCCGCTGCCTCACAGGCTGCCTTTCTCTTTCACAGACACAATATTTTCCCTCCCAAATCACTGTGTTTGAAAAGGAGGAAGAAAAACGACAGCTGAAGCCTTGGCTGCTCCCCCAGGAGCTGCCGTCCACTTTAGTTAGAGGCAGCGAGACACGTATTTGTTTATTTATTTTGTTGCGTGAGGCTCCTTGAGCAGGAGTGAGCCAGGTGACAGGTGAGGCGGAGAGAGATGAGTGGGGGGGGGGCAGGTGCAGTGTGTTAGGAGCCTCCTGTCAGGCAATTGGGCAGAGGTGTATTTCAATCTTGAGCGGGGCAGTGAGGCAAAAATGAATTGATAACTGGCTCGCTGTAGGTCGGGTAAAACCGTCTGTCATGTTTCTATTGGGGCACTGCACTGCTTCTGTGTTTTCTGTTTGTCAGTGCAACAATAGTCTGTTTGTCATTTGTTCTGGATAAGAGCATCAGCCACATGACTCAACAGAAAGGGTATGCTGGTGTTTGCCTTTGCGAGAAAGTGCCTCCATTATTGAGAGAACAGAGAGAATAGGGAGCGTGCTGCTTGATTATGTGGAGGCAAACTCACTGATCGTCTGCCGTTGTGCGATGTTTGAGAGAAGGTAGCCTGTCTCTGTAGAACCAACTACACTCTTGAAAATAAAGCTACCAAAAAGAGTTATTTGAAGCAGTACCATAGAAGAACCACTACAAATTCCCTGAAAAAAACCTTTGAGTCGATTGAGGTTTTTTAAGAACCATTCATTGAAAGATTCTGTAAGAAACATAGTTGACTGTTCTATGCATTTGCTCCAAAGAATCCTTTTGACACCTGTATTTTAAAAAGAAATTCCACCATTTTTTTCAAAATTTCAGCAGAATTTGCTTTTTGAGAAGTCATATAGAGTGTCCTGAAGATTTTAGGATGTTAAACCAGAGGTCATAAGGTGTTTAACACAAAGATAGCCATTTTGTTTGTTATCTAAACAATGGCTGAAGGTATATGTACCCTCTGAATTTTTATGTGTAGTGTTGAAAATGCTAAAATGGTGGTACATGTTGTTAATCTTTAAAAATAGATTCCAGGTGGCCAGCGCCTTCCTGCTTGCTAAGATTGTGAAGAAATATGATTTGGTAAACATACATACTATGGATAGTTTTTCTTCAAAATACTGTGCATGACTTTGGTTAGTTCTCACTGGTTACATTTAAAAATGGGTGGAATGTCCCTTTAAGAGTCTATTATGAAAGGCAGTCACTGAACTGAATAGGTGGAGGACTGTATTATGGCTCTTGTTTGCTCACTGCAGTGTGCATTCGTGTCCTTTTACAGGCTGTTGGGACCAATTTTTCCAGCTGCCCCCGCCCACCTCAACACTTGTTGAATTATCAGTCAGCACTTACTAATCTATGCTGGCACTAACAATCTCCCACCTAAAAGCCTAGAACCGTCAGGACGATTTCTCTTTTGAGTGATTGGGCTCAACATCCATGAACTAATTCCATTCAACATCCATGAACTCAAATTTCCATTTGTCTGAATCTTTTACTTGCTCCTGACAACTCGTGGTATTGAGCTCCAATGGCTCCGTTATTACCATGACACTTGCAGAGGAAGCGTGTTTATTGGATCAGAGGAGGCGTGTAACTGGGGGATTTTGATGCGTGGCTTGTTTGTCTGCTGTGATCCGTTCACCACGTAAAGAGAACAGAATGTAATCCTTCTGTTGTTTTTTTTTTAATGCATTTTCAACAGGATCTCAAAGCACAGATGCCAAAGCACAGACGATGGGATAGCAAAGGTTAAGCTTTTGCTTTCTCCAGTCAAGGGAATTATTTTTTGCCTTTTAAATATTATCTCTGCTTCCATCAGAATGCAGTCCATTTATTTACAGCATTCTTAAGGCTTATGGAATAACATTAACAGGAATGTACGATTTATAGAGACAGAAAGAGTTTTTGACAGCTTAGTTATATTATGAAAGGAGAGACGTTGACAGAATACTGTTTTGGAATGAGGGAAGGCTCTAATGGATTGGAGCCGGGGGTTGAAAGGAGACATGAGTGGTCAATTTATAGCCACTGGTCAGCCTTCAACACGCTACAGTCATATTGGCGTCTTGGAATCAGTGAGCTGTGACTACTGTTTCAGTTGACACCTTTTTTATCACAGTAAGCCCAGTCACAGCGCATGAAGAACCAAATCACACCAACATGCTGCAGTATGCATAGCAGGAAAATGGATAAATCGCTCTTGCCCTTTACAGTTTATGTTTGCAGCCATCTGTATGTCATTTGAAATGTTACACATTTCGGAGCACAGCATTTTTTGGCATAAAATGCAGTCACAACGCGTTAACACTGATCTGCAGTAATTGCAGCCAACTGCAAAAAACCCTTTGACTTTACTGTAATTTACAGCCTTATTTTACGTAAATCGTCTTGTATATTCAGTCACATAGTAATACCAAGACCGTTATACAGGCACAGACTAGTCTGTTGTTGATAATAACTTTAATTTGATGTTCAAGAAAATTTTAGTACTACTATAGCAAGTTTCTCCTCTCCTTGTGCTGTCTCCTCACTGCAGTCTGAGTAAGTAACCACTTTTATCTTCTGCAGAGCTTCGGTCTTTAAAAATGAAAGGGTCAGAAAGCTCCCAAATGGCACATAGGTGTAAGGATATTCTGGCTGTTCATTTATTCCGTTTTCACTGCAGTTTTATAAATTTCACAAGAGGGGGTAAGGGAGGGACTTTAGAAAAGCTGCTGTTGAAACCACAGCAGGAGCTCCAGCTTTCAGTGTTACACAGTGGCTCACTAGAGATGGACAACATGGCGATATGCAGGGGCAATCTTTGCACAAGAAAAAGGTAAGCTGTTGCCTAGGGCCCCCATGAGTCAAGGGCCCCATGGAAACGTGTCGATGTTAAATAATCTATTCCAAAATATATATACATTTTAAAAATAGCTGTTATTTTCCAGTAATTTGAATGCAACCTCACCCTCCCGTTGTGGTTATAATGGACTGTTACATGTTGTTACGTGATAACAAAACTGTGTGCAGACAAACCTTTATTAACAAGACAATTAAACAGTAATCTACATTATGTAGAGAAGGTTCTTTCACGTTTTCTGGGTGTTGAGAGGGAAAAATCAAAGTTACACAAGTGCAGCAAAGAAATGCAAAAGTAGAGAGGAAAGCTAAATATTTGTCACTACACTTCCAAAGCTAACTCTGTATTTTTTGGCCAGAAAAGAGTGCTGAACAGGTTCAGAACACTGTACATAATGCCAGTGTTAATGTTAGTACAGGTGGTTCTAGTGTTGGGATAATTACTCAAAAAATGAAATCCATTCAAGTTACTAATTACCTTGCACAAAGTATAATGGGATTACGTTACTTATTGTTTCCTGTAAAAACGAATCTTACTGCTCATTGTTTCTGCCTTACTCTGTACCAAATTTTCACACTATATTGACAGATCATTTTGCTTGTTTTAAACATTATTTCTTAAAATGAACAAAATGATCACTGAGTTAGCGATAAGATTTCACTTAATCAAATTACTTAAATCAAAGTAGAAAGTGCCTAGAAGTGTCTAGAAATAACTAACTAATTTATAA